CGATTCGATGGAGGGATACATTTCTGTAGAATGTATTGGGCAGGGTATGATATAGAAAAGTACCTCACGTTAACTAAAACATAACCGATGAAGTAGAACGACCCTTTAGGCATAACTTGCAGTTCAAGCCAGGAAAATATAAAATATTGGTCCGCAACCCTAGCAAGCCAAATATCTGCTGGTTTAAAGTTGTCATATACACAACCTACAGCAACTGAGAAAACACGGCGAGTCAGACATAAAGAAGAGAATGTGGAGAATAAAATTAAACAAACAACTATATAAGAAGGATCTGCTACTGTCCAAATAACTCCACTGCCCTAAGTAAACTGCTTACTTTCTATGATATCATAGAAACTAAGCAGTATGAAATTGGAAAGGACATTAAATTGAGGAAGTGCACACCTTTTGGATCGCCAGTTATAATTTATAAAATAAATGGCTGCGTAATAATCCAAGCATTACATCGATGCCCACTTTAAGTAGCGACTGTTAAGTAAGCAAGCAACTTCATAATAAAAATCGCAAAAATCACACTATTGCGCACAAGTGGGCCATAATCGCTTGATGTTCAATGTCGCTCGGGTTCAGCGGTAGAGGATTCTTGATTCATGGTTCACGATTAAAGCATCCTTGTTTATGCGGTAATTTGGCCGGTGGGTGATTGATCTTAAAGTATATTTCCACTCAACTGTTTTCATCCATTCTCGGTGGTTATCAAAAACAATCAATATTTTTAAGAAAATACGTTCGTTTGGCACACAAGTTAAGTTAATAGAGTTAATGTTCGACGCTGGATCTCCACGCCATTGTCAGATTTCAGAATATGTGCAACAGAAAATCGAAATTTAAAAAGTGCTATTAAAATTCAATAGTCATGTGGTGTGCGCAATATCTGGCAGCTAATAAATGCATGTTTGCATGTTTGTATTAAAGAAAGCATGTGAATAACTAATTTCAAAGAATTAGTATAACAACGCCCCATCAGAGACAAATTAGAAATGGAGAACATCAGCCGTATCCAGCTTTTAATGGATCTTCAATGCTTTCCTGATCCCGCGTCACGTACAACCTGAGATCAGGTGATGGCAGTCCCGCTCGGCAGTGGGAGAGCGAATCACGGGTGTCGCAAACCACGTTAAATATCAACTCTTTGCAGCTGCCAGACAGTGAGCATGCATCAGCATGCACCAGCCTGGTCAATCATCTTTCTGTGGCGGACTTACGCGAGACCTCGTGCGGCGGCTTCCCAGCTCACGGACTTCAGACGCAGCCTTCTGAGCTTTGGTTGCTCATTATTCTCCTCCTATTCTGTACAGAATATACTGTTCCTCCATCTGGCGTCTTCCTTCATCTCTTTCCAGGAATAACTGGCCCTGAAGATCGCAGCTGCTAGAGTCTTTATTATTTTCTTAACACACTGCGATAAGCTTCTTTCAGTCGGCATTCACTCAGGAATTAAATATTCCTCCTTTCCCTCACCCGTTTCAAGGCTTAATTTCGGAAATTTCGGCACTATAAGATTATGTCTACTTCTCACTTACCTCAGAAAGGACAGAATTGCTCAGATTGAAACCTGTCGCGTCACGCGATCGGTATAGAATTCAACCACACAGCGCTGGTAATGCTGTCTTATTAGGCCACCTAATGGTAAAAAGTATCGCTCTAATAGTGTTCCTGGTCTATAGGTTGCATTTTTTAACAAACAGGAGATGCTTTGATTGTTCTCTTGGTCTGCAGGTTTTCTATTCGGCTTTTGACCCTTCTCATCTACATTTTCAGTTAGGTAAGGCAATTACATGCACTTTTAATTTCCTTCTTGTTGCGATTTTTTCGCCCGCAAACGGCATCTAATTAACTTGCCCCTTTACTTCCCATTTACGACGAATTTGGCAAGAAACTTGAATGGGTTAATTTCTAAGCGGCCTCATAAAAAGCCTTGGAGATCTGACCGAGTACTGTGCGAGCCGGTGTTGACGATATTCCAGAAGTTTATAAAGAAATGCGAACTAGTATACGAATGGGAAGCTGTGTTAATAATTATTGTATGCTTAAAGCCCAGGAATCCCTCCCGTCATTAAAAACTTTGTGCTGGGGTAAAATAAATATAAAGTTGGCAATCACAGATTAGTTTGAGCAACTGTATGAACAAAATAACTAAGTAGTATGTTGTAAATGTTACGTAACACCCGATTCAAAACTAACAGTCATTTAAAGCTGTAGTCAACTATATGTACAGGTATGGCAAACTGAGAAAACAAGCAGTGAAAAAAACTCCTCTTAGACAATTTAGAGGCAGAGTTCGGCGAACTTCTGATTTCTAAACATATACGGGGAAAAACTGCTTCTGTTTTTGGTATGTAGTAGGAGTGATATGATTACGTGAGGTGAGACGGTGACGATGATGACAACGTATGTGGATTTGGAACGTTCCTTGTCATGAGAAATATACTATAGCCCAATGTGGGTGGGGCAGTAGGAGCTAGTCGCGGATCATAGGGTCAGCAAGGACAATGGCATGGAACGGAAGAGAGAATAGTATATGCCACGAAAACATCACCGAAATGTCGGAGATGCGATCAAGCAGGCTGCAGAGTCAACCAACAAGCTGGCGAAACACAAGAACCTGCGACGATCATCAACAGAAACCTCAAAGACCCCTATCAGGGTTGCAAAAGGGCGAAGAGTTGGCGACCTTTGGCAATGAAGCTTGACTCTGCACACAGTAATTTACTATCACGGGAAGAGCCTCAAATGCCAGAAGTGCCCTTTTCAAAGTTCAAGAACTGCGTGCTTGGGAAAGAAATGGACACATGCTTGTCTGGATTGGAGTCTAAACACAATTTCGTCGTATTTTTGGCTTCATTTTGTGCGACGTCTTGGAGTGATTTATTGGGTATTCAAGGCAAGTTGCCGCGGGTTGACTGTTTGCTTGTCTGTGCATAATGTGGCCGTGCGAGAGCCTGCGAGCAGACGTAGGTCGTTTACACGCTTAAGTCTGCTCTTGCGTG